ACAATACAGCCAAAATAGCGGCCATGTCTCTATGAATATCATTATAAACGTCATTAGTGACGTAACTACATTTTTCAAATTCCAATGCAGCTGCTTCCACTTCCAGTCCATTCTCAGTTGAGACATAGTATACCATAGGACGATTAATATTTGCAAATGCTAATAAAAATTTCCATGAAAATGGTTTAGATAGTTGCTATGGCAATTGACCATGTGTTTGTACAATTACAGTGTTCAGCAGCTAATCAGCTATTCTTTAGCAGCTTTAATGGAGCCATCCAGTTCTCTTATCTGTTATATTCTTGTATGGACCACTACCTTCGAGCTCTTTGCTGCAAAATCAGTGGGGGCCTGTCGGTCATGAATATAAACACACCCAAGTCAATAAAAACTAACTAGAATGGGGTGGAGAGTCCCAAGACACAGTGAGGCAGAGTGAGAAGAGTATTTCTGAAAAGAACTGGCTAAAGCAGCTTCAAAGAGACCAAGGATTAGTAACAGCAAGAAGAATAACAGCTCAAGAACACTGCAGCCTGGTGCTGTGCTTTAATACCGCGCCATTTTCAATTAAAATAGCAACTGGTTGTTATGGCAATTGCTAGCGCAAGAAAAATTCACAAATATTAGCAGTCATGCACGAATATTAATCGTCCAACGGTAAATGATCAGTTTGTTGATTATCAATAAAATACATTATTAATACTATTATGTATTGTTATATACTGTAAAGGCTGACCTGATGAGAGTTTATAAAAATGTATTTCATTATTAGACTAACCAATGTACATGGAACCAGGTTGTTCTGGTGTAAAACTAGAAAATACCTCTTCTCCCTCTCCTCCAATTACTACAAGATAGTCCTCACCGTTGACTTTTATTACTATCATGTCACAGTGGTACTTCATCACAGGACCATGACGAGATGTAGTAGGAGAGAGTTCCTTCCAGTTGAAGTTATCAACACTAAAACTGTATAAAATATTATAATATTTATCAGTAACTATCATGTTCACCTGTATAAACTATTATGATGGCATTGATCATGACCACAATAGCCTCCAAAATAAAATATTTCATTTCCAATGGCAACAGCTGCATAGCCCCAAACACCCAGTGGAGGATTACCGGTGGTGGGTTTCTGCTCCCACCTACCAGTAACCAAGTGGTACACCTCCATGACAGAACACATTGATTTCTTCTTTTCATTATTATGTACTGTTGGAAGACCAGGCTGGTCCCGCCCACCCCACATATACAGGTAGTCTCCTACCCGTACAGTGGAGTGTTCCTCCCTCTTCACTGGTTGATAGTCTATAGAACAAGAGGTAACAGTAACTGAATGATACACTAATAATAGTGAGTGACCTTTTCCAGGACCACTAGCCATTAGCAACAGTACTGAGCCAGTGGGTGTGGTCTCGTAAAACATCGTTTTGACCATAGATATTAAATGACAGGGATTGGAAACGGAAGCGTGGGCGTAGCCCAACCTCCATTCATTTGTATTGCTGCTAGGCTGACAGAGGCTCGTTGAAATTTTTTGTCACAATTTACCCTTGATTTTTTTTCTCTTAGAAACAATATCTCGCGAACAAGTGTTCCTATGCAAGTGGAATTAATGCATCAAGAAGCCTAATGTTTCCTCTTAATAATTCTGTTTTCTATTGTATAGATAATTTTACTATGTTCATGTTATGGCTCTTTTAAAACCATAAAATGTATTTTTTGTCATTATAATCCCTTTTTTGAAAACAAGCTAGAGTAAGATACAAGATCTTTATGATCATATGAAAGAGCTTTCATTTGCATATGGAATGATACTAGTTAGAGTTAGAATCCATGAAGCATGAGTTTGTTACAACAGAAAAAGGGCGAAAAATGAAAAAATTTTGTTGTACCTATAACTCATTGCAAAATAGCGTTGTAGAAGTAAAAACCTTGCTGCAGGTAGTCCAACACTTTCTATATGGAACGGTAGGCATATCATAAGTAAGCGTCCTCTTGGATTTCCATAAATATCCTTCGAAGTCCTTGCAGTACAGCCTCACTAATGGAGGAGATGGGAAATCAACCAGGTATTGGGCCGGTAACCAATAGCAACATCAACTAGCCTACGCCCCCGTTTCCAATCCCTTTCATTTACTCTATTATCTATGTTTTGACCATAGATATTAGAGTATACAGGGATAGGAAACTTCCGATTGCGGTTTTATTATTCCCA